GTCTGTCATACCCACCTGGCATTTACATGGGTTTCTGGGGATCCAAACTCTGGTCCTCACATTTGCCAGGCAAGCACTTTAACTGCTAGGCTATCATCCTATAGGGAAGGATTTTTAACAGCCATAGTCAGGATGAATGGTAACCATGATTAAATGCATTCTTCTCCTATAGCACCAGAGGTGGCATAAGAACAGCTCGCCTGGGACATAGAGACAGTGTCTTATGCAAACGGAGTTAGAGGGCCTGACTCCAAGAGGGAATAGAGGAAAAGGGGGCTGTGCCTGTCAACTTAAGCTCTCTTCAAAGTGTGAGCCACTGGCTAGAGAAGTAACTTCTCTCTTTATTGAACACTGGACAATTAGTCGCTAATTAGTGTGTATAAAATTTTCAGTAGGGATGCTGGAAAACTCCATCTCAGCTTTAGTAGTGAAGTCCACAAAACCTGATCTCGTCAATCTGCCATGTAAACCCTCGTTATCATTCAAAACACAATGGCTGTTTGGCTTCATAACAGGCAGAAACATGTAGGCAAGGGCACGCATTCACTGCCTCTCTGTGTCAACCTCAGACTGAAACTCCTGCCAGTTCTTCTGCAAGCAATATGGGACATACAGATCCCATGGTTCTTGTGAGCCCGTAACATAAGAGACAAAAAGGAATGAGGTACCCATCAGAATCAAAGAAAAAATGAGCATGTCAGGAATGCTTCGGAGACTTTCAGGAAGTATAGTCCTATTAGGCAGCAAGTCCCAGACCGGAAGGCTTTAGAACAGTACATACCAGAACAACAAACATGCATTGAATACCACCACCAAGAGTGTTGGCCTATGCTACCCATGTAAGCATTCTTGTATGCAGTGCTCAGTGAGAGATGTATCTAAGTAAAAGTGCAAAGTCAACGCCAGAATCTGATAAACTCATGGCTTAGAGAGAGGCTATATTGCTTAGAAGAGGCACAATTCCATGCTAGGCTGCAAGGTGAGGGAAGACTGCACAGATACGGGATATATGCCCTTGTCCTGAAGGTAGAAGTCATTTGGTCTCCAAGCAATGTGGTCTCCAAGTTACCTGGGGAATGCTTTTAAAAAAACAAAAAACAGATTCCTGAGTCTCATACCAGTCTCTAGTCAAAAGCTCTAGGAGTGTTACTTGGAATTTGCATTCTGTTTTTATCATAACAAAACATTCACACAAGTAGATAGAAGGGCAAAGAGCTTTGCTTTCATCACCCCGCATCAGCAATCATCAACTCACTGCATTCTTGTCTCCCTTCTGCCCTTATCTAGTTCTACTCCTTCAATGCTGTCTATGGCTTCCATATTTTTACATTAACCAGGTACCATGAGCAGTTGAGAGTTCACCCTGGATGCAATCTGGGAGCCACTGTTAAAGACAAGGCAATCCCAGGGTTAGTAGGAAAAAGGACCCAGAAGAGACGAAGGAGAATGATATTTGGGATAGAATAGAAGTGATCTGGATTACCCAGAGGGTAGGATGTAGGCATAAAGGAAATGTTGATAAGGTCAAAAGTTCAAGGGCCACCAAGGTCCTATTAGTATATGTGATATTTGTGAGAAACACAAGCTATGATTTGAAAGTCTATTCCTCCGAAACGCACGTTGAAACTTAAATGCCATTGTGATGAGATTGAGAGGTGGGATCTAAAGACATTCTGGGTTGTTAGGCCACAGGGGCTCCATCCTCACCAGTGGCCAAAAGCCATTATCACAGGAGAGGATTTTCTTTCTCTTGTACATGTTTTCCATCTCCTGCTACCACTCTTTTCACTCTTAGGCCATACCAATGACTCCCATCACATTATGGCAGAGCATGGAGGTCCTCAGCAGATACTGGCACCTTAATATTGTTCTCCAATCAACGAGTTTTTCTCCATTATAAATTACCCATCCTCAACTGTTCTGTTATAGCATCCCAGAAAGACTAAGATACATAGAAAAACACTTTGGGTTAGAAAAGGCACCCCTCAAATAGAGTACCCACTCAAATAGAGTAGGGGCTGTTGTCCCCACTAACTGCACCTGTCACCGTTCTAGCCCTAAACCACGGAGCTCTGCCCAGCTGTCCCAAGCAGGGTGGCAGGAAGTCTGAGGGTACAAAGGGGTCTGGGCTTTACCTTATAAGAGGCAGAGGATGCTAAGAAGGGGGCCATGTGGCAATCAGTCTGTGCTTTAAAAGAATACTAGGCATTGGATGGGGGAGGCGGACAGAGTGGAGGATGGAAAAGCAAAAGGCAAACAGCTACTAGCCAGGGAAGAGGGTCTTGAAGGTCAAGTTTAAAGAGGAAAGGCTTTGGGGTTCTAGAGAGAGCTGGGGCTGGATGTAAAGATTCAGGACTCTGGCACAAAGGAGTCATTTGAAGTCACAGAAAGGAAGTGTAATTGGTATAAGAATAAAGAGAAGTGAAGACTCTGGGGGAAAGCTATCATTTCTAAAACGGGGGCAGGGAGGAAAGAAGGCAGATCAGGTGAGATAGAGATCAAGGAGAAATGGTCAGGGAGATGAGAAAGAGAGAGATGCAGAGAAAGAAAAGGCCTCCAGAAGCCAATGGAGCAAAAGCGGTCACTGGTGTGGTGAGAAGGAAAGCAGGAATGTAAAGGAAGGTCGTGTTTAGAGCTACTTAGGCTATCAAGCTAAGCAGTCAGAGCTAGTCTTGAAAGGCACGGTAACAAGTGCCAAGGTGTACAGAGGAGTTGGTCAGCCATGACACTTCCTTCAATAAGTAAGGCCTTGAGCCAGTTATTCCAGCAAGAGCATCTCTGTGTTAGTAAAATGTGGATGACGGTTTCCATGGAATAGAGTAGACACATTCCAAGGAATGCAGCTCTTCCTGTTACCGACACCTAACTAAGTACTGCCTTAAAGGATGGATGACCTTTCCACACATCTAACACCTATTAACTCTAACTAGCTTGTAAATTGCTTTGGGGCATAGATTAAGGTTTAAAATTAATTAAAGTCAATGGCCATACTTGAGATTTACTGTGTAGAAGAGTGTATAAGAAGAGCAAAAAAACCACGGAGGGTTTAAGGCAGAAGAAGAAACAGAGATCCTGCAATTTAGTGAAGTGTCCACTCAGTGGCCTGACAGCAAGGGGCTGCAGAGACCATGCTGGCTGATGGGGCCAGACAGGCAGTGGCCAGAGGCCCCTGGGCTGAACTGAGGTGCAGAGGAGGGCACAAGCACAGCTAAGCTGGACACTAGTGAGTGTGGAGACAGCTATAAATCTTAGTGGGTTAAAAAGAAGGTGCTGTGGGAAGTACGGAGAGAGGTCTATTGACCTATAGCCAACAGAACATAGGGTGACACCCCCCTCCAGTAAACCACATTCTCATATAATTCCCCCAAGTATGTAGAACCCATGCCTCGCCTCTAAACAACATAATACAATAAAGACAATATAATGCCTCTACTTAGTGAAATGTCACACTGTCCAGCAGAAGCACGGGGGCTTTTTTTTTTCAAATAGGCTGTCCAGGCTGTTCTCAAACTCCTGTGCCTACTATGTGATCTCACTGCCCCACTCTCCCAAGTAGCTGGAATTAACAGGCGTGCACCATTATGCTCAGCATGGACACAGAGACCTTACAGATAAAAGCAAGGCTCCAAATTACTTGCTTTTAGGTTTATCAAAAGGGATCTTTGGGTGAGCCTGCTAGTCCTTAAAAATAGGGTCTAGGCCTTCTCTGAGGAAGAGACTCCAAGAGGGAAAGCCTCTCCCAGTGACCTTGAGCAACCTTTGTGCTCTCTAAAGCTTTAAGGTCAAGAATTCTGCCATTCAGCATGTGGAAGAGGAGCCCAGACGTCGGAGCTTAGCTGTTAACCTCCACCACAGCCTAGTGAGACGCTGAACCTAGGCTAAGGATGAGAGACTGGGAGATAATGAGTAAGGGTTATTCCCAGCCTCTGAGGCTGTGTTTAGGAGCCATACAACAATCCAAAGCACGTGCATAGACTTCCATGGTGAGCACCATGTGAACAAGCTAGGGAAGCACTGACCCGTTTTTCCCCTTTTTTAGGAAGCTAGGGGAGGCAGAAGGAAGGGAAGCCTGGGGTGGGGCTGAGCAGAACCCTCCAACGTCAAGACATCGCTCCCAGGAACAGGTCAGAAAACCTTAGGTGGGTGCCTGAGCTCTGGGCTAAGCCAAGTTAGCTACCTTTTCACCTTTTCCACCCATTTTTCTAAAAAAGATGAAGCAAAGATCAAGTAAAAAAGATGGATAGTCATTGAAAAAGACTTCAGGAACTTTAGTGTCCTTATTGCTAATTATAAATATTTACTCCTCCCAGGATTCCTGACCTCACAGAAGAGCCTGCGTAAACAGCCTTGTCCTTTACTGGAAAACTCGTGTGTGTGTGTGTGTGTGTGTGTGTGTGTGTGTGTGTGTGTATGTGTGTTTGTGTGCTTCTTGGAAGGGGACAGGGCAGTAATAAAGGACTGGACAATTTGAAAAAAGTCACTTCCTGTTGGATGATGTCTAGTTCCCACTCCCCACCCCCACCCCAAGAGCATAAACCTCCAGACCTCCACAGACCTCTTCCTTCCCAGATTCTATTGAGGGGAGACAACTAAGCCAAACAAACTCAGGAAGGGCAAGACATCAGGAAGTGGAGGAAGTTCATGGCACAGAAGGAAAAAGTCAAGAGAATACCCTGATGTTGAGGAAGAGGATGGGGGGAGAAGGAGAGAGAGAGAGAGGTGAAGGTTACCTCAAGGGCACCAAGCCTTTAAATGTCACACTTGAGTTTTAAATCAAAACTGGCACAGTTTGTTGGTCAATTCTCCTGGGGCCATTCAAATATTAACATCCACAGTGATAAACAGCGCCCCCCCCAAGTCTTCTCTAAGCAAATTGGAACAAACAACTAAGCTAAATCTGGTTGCTGGGAGACCAGCTGGGCAAGAGCCAAAGTCAGTTCAAGGGTCTGGAGAAGTCTTTATGTTTTTGCTTTCCGGAAAGGGAAGAGAGAAGACACTACCTGTAGATCACTCCATGCTGGTGGAGGAACATGAGGGCAGACGTGACCTCTGCAGCATAGAACCGGGAACGAGGTTCGTCGAATTTTCGAGACCTCTGGATCTGGAACATGAGGTCTCCACCATTTACATATTCCATGACGAAAAAGAGGCGGTCCTGAAAGGAGAGAAGAAAATGCCAATTAAGTCGTCCTTGCAGCTCCTAGATGGGGCCAGCTACTGTGAGCTTAACTTCACCAGGACTCGAGACAAGAAAGGCCCTGAAACAAAGGAGGCACACAAGTCAGGGTATGAAGAGTCATTTAAAGTCTGCCTTTTGGGGATGAGGCTGTAGCTCAGTAAGTAGAGTGATTGGGGGGGGGCATCAGGGTCATACATTGCTACATAATGAATTCAAGGCCATCCTCATCCTATGGTACATAAAACCCGGGCTCAACCCCCGCCCCCCCAAAACTCCCAAAACCGAAAAAATTACCACCACCACCACCAAAAGTAAAGTTCAAGGCCAGCCAGGGCTACATAAGGGACATATAGATATATATAAAATTTTTAAAAAAGAACTCTGTCTTTCTTTGTGGACATCAGCTTGACCTAGTAGAAACAGCCCGAAATTGACATAAAAGAGAACTGAGTCTTCAGTTTTGAGCATGAGGTAAGGTGTGACCCTCTATAAGTCTCTCCCCTTTGGAAAAACAGCTTTACATGTGGGGGAGACTGAATAATGATTCTCCCAAAGAAATCTAGGTCCTACTCCTGAAATGTGTGAGTGTTACTTTCTGGATACAAAAGAATTTTTCAGGTGTGATTAAGCCAGGGCTCTCAAGAGGAGAGGCTGTGCTAGATCAAAAGGATGACCTTCAATGCAAACACAAAAGTTTCTGTAAGAGGGAGGCAGAAAGAGACTTGGGAAGGGAGGAGGATGTAGTCACCATGGAAACAGTCATAAGCCAAAGGATGCAGGAAGCCTCCAGAAACTGAAGGAAGGAGCAGAGTCTCTGAGGGAGAATGGCCTAGGGCATCGATAACTTGATTTTGGCCCAGGTAACACTAGTCTCAGATGTCTGGTCTCTAGAACTGTGAAAAAGTTTCTTTTGTTGTTGTTGTTGCTGCTGCTGGTGGTTGTGGTTTATTTTTTGAGACAGGGTCTCCCTGTAGCCCCAGCTGGTCCGAGATTCCCTATGTAGACCAGGTTGGGCTTGATCTCACAGAGATTCACCTGCCTCTATCTCCCAAGTGCTGGTGTGCACCACTACATGTGGCCTAGATCCATTAAGTCAACAAGTTTGTGGCAATTTGTTAAGGTGGCTCTGGGACTCCTGGAATAATGTTACGTGAAATAACTTGCAAATACATTTTACAATGGGAGTGGTGGTGCATGCCTTTAATCCCAGCACTGGGAGGCAGAGGCAGGTGGATCTCTGTGAGTTCAAGGCCAGCCTGGTCTATATAGTGAGTTTCAGGGCACTATGGGGCTACAGGGAGACCCTGTCTCAAAAAAGAAAAAAAGAAAATAATAAGGGAGGTGAACAGTGGGTACTGGAGGTATGGCTCAATGGTTAAGAGTCCTGATTGCTCTTGCAGAGGACCTAGGTTCAGTTCCCAGCACGCACATGACAGCTAACAACCATCCATAATGTCAGTTCCAAGGGATACAACGTCCTGTTCTGACTCCATGGGTACTGTGTGACATAGGTATACTTACATACATGCAGGCAATATCATCAAACACATAAAATAAAAATAAATAAAATATTAAAAAAACAATAAACAATAAGGAAGAGTCTTAACTGTAAGACCCATTTCCCATGAGGCCCTAGAGGATGTTTTCTCTAGGATCTTCCCTTAAGGCAGCCCTCAGAGGCCAAACCAAAGTCACCTGTCATGAGGGGTTGGGTAGCGTCTTCTTATCTGTGTCTATGATGATTTGGGGAGGGGAAAAAGCAGACTGAAATCTACTGTTACCAAGTTTATTGATATTTCCTAAACAGCTTGTCTATGGGATGTTATTCTGGGCAACAGACAAAGAAGTATAAGCTGTGGTTGCTCTGATGACTAACAGTCCAGGGTGGACATGGGACATGGGTAGGATGACAAAAACACAAAAGGAGCACAGTGCAGGGAAGACACCGCATGCTTTCTGGGTGAGGGAAGCAGAGAGGATTCTAGAAGGAACAGGGCCTTCAGAGAAAGAGGCAGGAACAGAAACCTGGCTTTGGGAACAGAGTGAGCATATTTACGGCTCAGTAAGGTTGGCTGGAGAGGAAGGCTAATGAAGGTTCTGGAATGCACTACGTAGCCAAGGTTCATCATAATTGTTTTATGCTGTGCTACTCCCAGTTCAGCACTGACTGAACTGCATCCTCAGCCCCAGGACACAGTCTCAACACAACACGGTCTAAATGAAGTTTCAGCAAGGGCATCATTCTCCCTTAAAACTGAGTGAAACTCACCCTAACAGTCCCTCATCACAAAGCGTTCCTGCTTTGTTGTTGGCAGCCCCTTTCATAATGAGTGCACACTTTTGGGTCATTACTAATGCCCGTGTTGCTCCTTCAACCACTTCTCAGAATTACCCAGGTCCTCTGCAAGAGCAGTCAGTGCTCTTAATCACTGAGCCATCTCTCCAGCCCCCATAGAATTATATTTTATTTTCTTGTGGTATTGGGGTTCAAACTCAGTCTTGTGCATGCTAGGCTACTGCTGAACCACTGAGCTCCATTCCTAACCCTAAATTCTAAGTTAAAATATCTGGCTCATTATTGGTGCATCACAGGATTACCAAAGACTATTGTCACTGACAGTATTAATAGCTGTCATTATTGAGTCTTTCTTTTTTCAGATCTCTCTCCATCTTTCCTCCCTGACCACCTTCTCTTTCCCAAATGCTGTTTCCTTGGCCTTCAGGCTGGTTTCCTACCTTTGTGTCTATCTCTTTTTCTCAGTTTCTCTTTTCTGTGTCTCTACCTCTGCCTCTTACAGGCTTTTCTGCCCTACAGCCATGAAGTGCTGAGCTCACAAGGGTGGGTCCTCGGGCCTCCCTGTGGAGTGAGCTCATAAGCACCAGTAGCATCCAGGGCTCTCTGCACGGATGATTCCACACCTAGCCCTCCATCCTAGACTTCTCCAACTTCCAGACCCAGGTAGCCAACTCTTTCTGACTTCCCTCCAGATGCCTCATAGGCAGTCAAACCCAACATGTTGAAACGGACTCCACCATCATGCCCAGCAAACTGGTCCTCGTGTGGAGCTTCCTGTCTCAGGTATGGCCCTCACCTTCATCCAGTATTTCCACTCAGAACCCCAGGAGTCATCTTTAATCCTCCATCTCCCTTATCTCTGGCACCCTCGCCACGCCGTTGCTCTCGCCTTTGTACGTTGGCACTATTTGCACCTGTCCACTTACTTCTTTTGGTCTCCATCACTGCCGTGCCCACTTCCCACCCAAGAAGCTTTCTTCTCTTGTCTAGATTGTTCCTACGTTTATTTCAGTTTCCCGTCCCAGTGCTGGTCATGCTATAGGAAGAGGAGATCTGCTGAGATGGAAATCTGGTTGTAATTCATCCCCCTTCCTCTTCTCACTCTACTGTTTAATACGTGTGTGTGTGTGTGTGTGTGTGTGTGTGTGTGTGTGTGTGTGTGTGGTGTATGTGTAAGGTGCCTGCACGTGAGTAGGTGGGTGTGTACAACCACCCATTCACATGTGGAGGCCAGTGCAGGATGTTAGATGTCAGGTGCCTTCTATAGCTCTTTATCCTATTGTCTTGAGATAGGTTCTCTCACTGCATCAGAAGCTTGCCCTTTTGGCTAAGATGGCTGGCTAAGGAACTCTCAGGATCTGCCTCTCACTGCCCTCCAATGCTAAGTTACAGGCATGTTCAGCCATGTCTAACTTTTTGCACGGATGCTGGGTATTCCACCTCATATCCTCATCTTTGCAGGGTAAGTGGTCTTACCCACTGTCTACCCAGCCCCGCTTAATTCTATAAAAGGCTCTTGTTGCTCTTCGAATAGATAGAGAACCCCTTCCCATACTATAAAATTTGTATGACTTCCTGAGTCGTTTTCCTCCCAGCTGTCCTTATCCCTGTCCTGGAACTTCAATTCATGTTCTTGTTGTTTGGAATGTCTTACCCTTTTCTCCCACACGGAACCCTCCCTTATCGTACAGATTTCAGCATAGCCATCTTTTCTTTGAGGAGGCTCAGTGACTTTTCAGACAGGGTCAAGTCACCCTGTTGTGCGCTATGTTCCCTGTTGTAGCATTCAGCTCAGGGGACATTGTGTTTGTGTGATGACCATTCTCCCAGTAATCTATATGCTTCATGAAGGTAGGAGTTTTGTTGGTAGTTCTGTTGTGTTTGTTTTTTTTAAAGAAAATTAGCAACCCCAAAGATAAATTGTTGTCATTTCCTTTAAACATAGCACTGTAGAGTTGGGGACGTAGTTCAGTTGGTAGAGTGCTTGTTTTGCATGCAAGAAAACCCTAACTCTATCCCAGTATTGCATAAACTGGGCATGGTAGAACATGCCTGTAATCCCAGCATTCAGGAGGTGGAGGCCGAGAGACATAAGTTCAGTGTCATCCTAGCCTACATACAGAGTTGGAGGAAGACACTTTCAAAAATTAAAATGAAAAAATAAGACTGGTCATGGTGGTACATGCCTCTAATCCCAGCAGAGGCAGGCAGATTTCTGTGGGATCGAGGCCAGCCTGGTCTACATAGTAAATTTCAGGCCAATTGGGGCAACAGGGAAACTCTTGTCTCAAAAAACTAATAATAAATAAAAGTAAAATAAAATAAAAATAAGCAAGGTATAGCAGATGAACCCAAATAGATAGGGGGCTATATGAAATGTAACCAAAGTGTGTTCTAATATTTGTATCTGCGAATTCTTACTGCTTAGTGAGGTAAAGATGATTCAGCCTGCCACTGAGAGCCTCCTTCCTGTGGAATCTGGAGAGAATTTGTCAATCACTATCTGTGTGCCTCAACCACCTACCTTGGGATATAGCCTTGAATGGTACTCCTGTCCAATGAAGAGATATCTTCACTTCATAGTGAGTTGGGCATCCTTTTGAGGAGTACATCTTACTCTTTAAACATCCCCAACCAATATGAGCTCAAGACTGCACCCAGGAGGCTCTCAGCACAGATC